TCTGTCGAATGAATTGTTGGTACTAAACGTTTAATTTGGCTAACACGCCTTTCAGCGGCGTTTTTTGCTTACTTTTGAAAAAAAAACATACACAAGTGAATAATAATCTCATAATCACACAGGTTGTTGTTGTTTTTCGCACGATTCAGTAAAGATTTAACTTTTTATGAGTGAATTTTCAATGATTTTATTTAGTTTTAATAATATGATGTTTAATGTAGTAGTGTTCAATGTCAAATTATATTCATATATAAATTAATTATGAGGTGTTTATTAAAAAAAAGTAAGTTTACTCCCTGATTCACATTTTACTATATGGATGAATATTTTTTTAAAAATCAGTATGAGCTTGTCTACCATTCGAAAATAATCAACTCAAACTTGTAGAAATAGTGACACAAACTTCATTAGCATTGGATAAGTTAACTGAGTGAATAAATTGTTAGTGTGTATAAGGCAAAAGCCATTGGGTTCAAACTGTCAATGTCAGTGAATATTAAACAATGAGACGAAGACACATTCAGTTATAATGTAATCTAAATAACTTGAAACGCGAATCATCAACTAACACTTCTAATCATTTATTCATTTATTATGATTAAATCAGGCAAGTTTGAGAGTCTAAATCATTGGATTTCAACTGATCAAATTAAATGTAATGAGTTTTGCAAGTAACTCCTAGAGTTTTAAGTTTTAAGATTAAAAAAAGAACTAGTCTATTGCTCTCAGTCTTTCAGTAGTCACTTAGCCTGAGATCATTCGATAGTTTCAACTGCTATCAAAGGAATATGTGAACATTGTGATAATATTTAAAATAGTCGATACTATTTTTTTTCTTCATTCTTGTTTAACTTTATCATTGATGTGCTTTTAGATACGATACTCCTATCAGGAGGTGAATTGTTGCTAGTAGATTTACTTTTTGATTTAGAATATGCCGATGACATCGTCCTACTTGATGAATACGCTGACAAAATGAACAGTCTTCTGACCAGCCTAAGCAACAATGCAAGCATGTTCGGGATGCGGTTTTCCCCCTCGAAATGCAAAATGTTGCTTCAAGATTAGGTTGCATCGGCACCTGAACTAGTGATACAGAGTGAAGTAGTCGTACGTGTAGACCGCTTCACTTATCTGGGTAGTCTTACCAGTGATGATGGCATGGTGTGTGATGAAATCTCAGCACGGATACAGAAGGCTCAGCTGGCCTTTGTCAACTTGCGTCACTTATGGCGCAGGCGACATATCTGTTTGCTGACTAAAGGACGAGTGTACTGCGCAGTAGTTCTCTCCATCCTACTTTATGGCTGCTAAACATGACCAGTAAGAGTAGAAGATATTCGTAGGTTACTGGTTTGAGATAATAGGTCTCTTCGAAACATTGCTCGTATATCGTGGGACACCCGAGTGAACAACGCTGTTATTAGGAAACGGGTGCTAGGTAAGAATGGCAGATCAATAGATGAAGTAATGAAACTTCATCAGTTGGGGTGAATGGGACATATGTTGCGTATACCTAACCACCGACTGCCTCGACGAGTTTTGTTTCGTAGTGTAGGAGTAGGTTGGAAGAAGGTTAGGGGCGGCCAGACCAAAACATGTTAGAAATTCATGAAGTCACTGACAAGTGGACTGAGCCATGTGGGCAAGTGTCGACTACCAGGTTGTGGTCCACGAGACGATTGTAAACGATGGTTAGAGACCTTGAATGACATGGCTCAAAATCGTTTACAATGGCGCAGGCGCATTCATTTTTTTTGTTCTCTCAAGTCCGAATCTTCAGAATTCCTCATCACTTCTATCTTTCTCTTTCTATGTTTATTTCTTGAATAGTCTCTTTAAACCCTTATCCCTCCGATTACTACTAATACTTCCACTACCTCTACACTACAATGGTATTTGAATTGACAATCGCGTTTCTGTCCTAATGAGTTATGGCAACTAGGACTGATGTACGTACATATGAAATTCTACCTTGTAACTGACTGACCGATACTCTATTTAATCAATCACTTTACTATAAAACCAATTTTTTATACAACGCATACACCAGATACTGATACAGGTAATTGGAGTTAGGTTAAACTGTTTGCAATTTTTTATAAGACTAGTATTATTATTTTTTTTGGGCTTAACCAGAAAAGTTATACATAGAGAGTCAAACTGTTGGACAACTAATTGAGAAAACTGACTGTTGTTTTCAATTAATAAGCTACCGTTTCGTTGCTTAGTCTTAATGTATTTTACGCTACTTCAATCATGAACAGATACATTTACCAATAGGCTGTGAATATTTTCACCTCTAAAAAAGTAATATTGTTTTCAAGCTTAATTTGTAAATAAAGCAAGATACACAACTGTGAAATGTTTGTATTGTACTAATACAAGTATGAAAACTACATGATTTTCTCAGTTGACGATCTAGTAATTTTTATTAGTAGTGTAGAAAGTTTGTACAAGTTGTGGAATTATATTGCTTGCATTATAAAATTAATCTTATTTAGGCAAATATTCAACACAAGGAAGCATCTGACAACCATTTTAGTCTAGTAAGAAGGGATTCGTCATCAGTAAGCAACCACAACCTCACTAAGGATTGAATCCTCGTCATTTAGGTCCCACAGTGAGTGATTTAACTTCTGGGCAACAATGTTATAGCTCAACTTCAAATTACCGAACCCTAACTTAGGGTCTTCATTGTCGAAGCTGGAGATGCGTAATTCCACATCCTTACAGTTCTATGAACATGCACTTCTGGCGTAGTTTCCTACTAAGACGAAATAATAGTACTTCTTCATTAAAAATGCTAGAAATTTTAGTAAATTCAAAATAGTTTTGTCGATAATTATAAAGTAACAATTATAGAAGTCATTAAAACATGAATGCAAATTCGATAATTACAATTATACTAAACAGGTGTTATTCATTAAATGAATTGAATGAAAACATGAAGTTACTGACGTGAAAAATTGTACATTAACTAATAAAAGATTTAAAATACTTCGCTTGTTTTTTATTAACAATCAGAATGCTAATAATAATTATACAAGACTGAATTCAAGAAATATTATTAATAATGATGAAAGTCGATTCATTGGCTATAACAGAAAAGAAAAAGGATGAAAAACAAGATAATTTTTAATCAGCTTTAATTTGTTACACAGTTTCCCGACCGTAACTGTTACCTTGACGTGGTGGTGGTCAGGCTTGCCTATTGAGATGACCAGATCGAACTTTATTGGCTGGAACATATATTCCTATAGGTTCTACCAAGCTAGGCAGGTCGATCGTAGAACGGCAAGACTAAAAGCAGCTACTCAAGATCTGAGAGTGAAGTTTTACTGCTGACTGTAGAGGGATGTGAGAGCAGTGAGGTGTTTGCCTTGGACAACCAGCATCTACAACGATTCTGCCTTCTCACAAGGAAGGAAGGGGTTAGAAAAGATCGGCCATATCAATGTCACACCTCATCATACCTCACGGATCTCAGTCTTCGGCAGGTACGGCCACTTGAAGAGAGCAGCTAACACCGAACAATTTTCCCATAAAACGCCCGTGTGTGACTGGTCTCGGGCAGTTGTGCATTGTGCTGTGCGGTCACGTTACCAGGTTTCTAAGACCAACGCGAATCCGACTTCTCTTTTAGATTCCTCAAGAAGTATTTTTCCACAATGTGGGGAACCGGAAAGTGACATCCACCCTCATACCCGTGACAGCATACAAGACTAAATTGGTCATAATCAAATCCTGTTACATGTATATTTTATTCATATATAAGATATACTAATGGCCAATATAGTAGGAGTGGTTTTTCATATTTCTTTTAAACGTGTGCTAATTAAGTTCGTTAAAATGGAGACGGATGTGTGTAATTCCTATGATGAACCTAAACAGAATGTAATAAATAACTTGAATGGTTCATTTGATAACAAATTAATGTTTTGTTTCTGCTAAATGAAACTGTTAACTATACTGTTCATAGATTTAATAGACAGCCTTACCCAATGGCATATTCTATCTAAGTGGACTTAAAGATCATTTGAACGGGTAAACACACAAAGATCATAAGATTTCGGTTAATTTTTCTTTGTGGGCAGAGTTTTTGAGGTTTGTGTTTTTACACATTTGAAATCATCAATCGATCATTGTAAAAACACAAACCTCCAAAACTCTGCCCCAAAATATCGTAACAGTGCTCACTAGTGTCTAGCTTCATGAGGAAATTCTTGGAGTTCTAGTTGAGAAGACGTGACCGATGGAGTTCAGCCCTGTCGGGTGTAGGCAGTAACTACCAAAGACAAATGGATATGGTCGCGCAAATTCCCTAGATCAGTCAGAGTTAGACATTAACATCGTTGGATGCCGGGCCAGTGGTCCAATGGTTAAGCGTTCGCGCACAGTACCGAAGGTCCCGGGTTCGAATCCTTTGAGCAGCAGGATTCGTGGTTGCGCACTGCCACTGATGAGTCCCACACCAGGACGAAACCGCCGTCCAGTGCTCCCAATTTTCTAATAGTGATCTAACAATGATTGATTGATAATTTTAATTTATTTCAGAATGTGAAAACTGAACAGATTTCATGTAGGATTTAGAGCTTTTTATGTAGTAAACATTTTCTGTATAAATCTTCCTAATTCATCATATTATTACTTCAGTGATAGTGTTATTCCTCAGCTCGATTTTATACTTTGCTTAGAAATGATTGAGTTGATGATGATGTGACTTGAACATTTTGTCCCGAATCTCTGCTCAGAACTTAAGAAAACATTTATTTTCTATTTGTTTCTCGTTTATTGTCTTTTTTGATTCAAACAAATGTTTACAGAAAATTAATTTTGACAGTGAGTTACGCCTATCATTTAATTATTGACTGTGGTCATACATACAATCAATCTAAAATTTCAAACTTATTCACATGATTTCATTTGTTCTCATGTGTGTTAACAGCATTTTGCATTGTACTGTTACATGAAATGTTATCTCCTTTTTTTTTCTTCAGGATTTTGTATACTTTGGAACTAAATAAATACGCCTTCAAATGTTGCCTTTTATATACATACATATATATATATAGTTTGTGTAAAACAAATATTCTCACCGCTTTCTTAAAAATCTTGGGACCAATGAAACAAGAATCGCATAAGAATGCATAAACAAAGATGGTTGATTCAATGATCAATTATTACAAGGAAAAAAAAGTTACTGCAAATACAACCAAACTACAATGAATTACTAATTTAAAATCACAAGAATCAGTCACTGATCATTTTTGTATTCACATTGATAATATCAACTGTTGTTTTCACAATTGAATAATTTATTTATCCCTTCGTCATTTATCTGTGTGTTGTTGATTTTGTTTTACTGTAACAAAAGACCATATTTATTGAACATATTTTAAATTCTACTCTACTGCTTTGAATCTATCCATCCATATTCACGTATGTACATGTTTTTTTTCTGTGCTTTTTTTGTTTCTTCAACGAATAAAACTCGGTGGTTGGCTGTGTACAGACAGATATTATAGATAGACAGATAGGTGTGTAAACACACCGATGTAGACGTCCATCTAACAAGTACACATATTAAAAAACCATATGATCTTCTAGGATGAATCACAAGGCCAAAAAAATATATATTTTTTGATGAAATAATAAATCTGATTTCTGATTTTTTTTTTAATTTTAGTATTTACTAGTTAAATTGTGATAATTTTAGTTCATTTTCAAATTTATGCTTTCAAATAATTTCACAATAGACATTTTTTTTGTAATCAGATACGATTGTGTGCATTGAATTATTACTGAACTGAACTGTGTGAATTATCATGCGGAACTATTCTTTTCCTATGGTTGGATTGTAGTTTCAAAAGACAAAATTACTTGTTATTATTATCATTTGACTGATTCAATTTATTTGATAATATTCAATGTATGTGTAAAATAATTTTATCTTTTCAAAAATTTTGAAAAATATTATCTATATATATATATTTATACATATATACATTTTCATGTACGAATTACATACGTCTGTTACCCATAATAGCCCGCTGACTAGCCAATTACTTTTCTGGTTAGCGTTTTCTTACGTGTTGGATTTCCACGAGATGGAGTCGTCAACACCCCATACCCAAACCTATTCCTTTATGTTAGGGACGTTAGATCCCCAGAACTCACTTGGAAAAGGTGCTAATCTTGGATTTTGTGTTTTCGCGCATAGGCTGATCAGTTGATCTTGAGTTCACATTTCCCACTCGGAAAATCGTTGATTGTCATTGGTGATGTATTATTTTTTTGTGGCTCTCCCAAGGACGCTTCTATCATGCCCAAATAAACTCGATTTGTGTGCTTGTCAACCTCATGTTTTCTGGGTGCTTGTAGAATAAACTTTCTACGCCTGATCAAGACTTCTTGCTATAGTTAGCAGGGCCGGGGACAAACGGATTAGAATAACCGATCGTGTCACTGTATCATTGCTTTGTTCTCGTTTACCAAGTAAGGTGAACTGCTAATAGTTTCAAGCATATCAGTTGACGAGGATATCACTTTATCTGCCCTTGGGACCGGCAGTAACCCTAGAAGAGCTCCAGGCGGAGTCAACTGCACAAATAACCAAACTGAATTAAGAAGTCATGTATAAGAAGTGAAGTTTGATTGTAAATTCAACTATGATAAAATCATAATACATATTGAATTTGAGGTGTTATAAACACAAAGTTTATGTTTGAGGTTAGTTAGTTGTAAGTAACCTATTGTCTGGCAAATATATACGTCTTTCTAAGTAACTACACTACATCAGCATAGTAAAATGAAATTATCATCACTTATCAGCATAGTTTTCAAAATCAGTAGTCAGTGATTTCATTTTTTCTGTCGATGTATTTTTATTTACCCATCCTCAAATTTTTTTTAAAACTACTACTGTGCTAAGTAAAATCGTGTACCAAGGTGTGAGGTTGTTGTGAGTACACACACAGTACAATGTTTGAACAATTTCAGGAGATAAAGATTCACAATCTTGCCAACTATTTTTTGGTCTTTCAGTTGAGGCAGTATTTGTGAAACACAGTGAAATCCTATAGCCAGACCAATTTAAAACATGAGAACATATTTCAGGAAACATAAATATCAAACAGATGAAGTGGGAAAACTGATCAATCATTTAGGGAAATTGTAATTCATCCCATGTACATTCCTGTTTGATTATTAGTGTGGTCGATTTCTCCTCATTCAAAAATGAATATAGTCATATGAAGTGTGAGTGATCATTTACTGAGCTGTAAGCCTGAAACGTAAAATTTATATGTCACTGAATAGTATAGACACCGTGATACGAGGTATTTTGTAACATGGTATTTGGTGTTACAAACATTTTTCAATAAAAATCATTACATTCCATCAAATCAATCATGGGAATTCAAGGTTAGATTTAAATATGCCCTACATTTTAAGTTGACAATTTTTTCACATCGCAACTATCAACCAATCATTGTTAGACTACCATTAGAAACCTGGAAGCACTGGACAGCCGTTTCGTCCAGAGTTTGGGCGTTTGCGCGCAAGACCCGAAGGTCCAGGGTTTGAATCCTGCGAGTAGCATGAGTTGTGGATGCGCACTGCCACTGATGATGACGAAACGGCCGTCATTCAGTGCTCCCAGTTTTCTAATGGTGGGCTAGCACTGATCTCCATATAACTCCACTCAAAAGAATGGTTGATAATTATTTCAAAAGGAATTGTATGGAAGATGGAAAGAAAGCTAGTCACACCGAACATAGGATAAAACACAAAACTGTTACAGTCGTTCATTTCATCACAGCTGGAGGTGATCAATGAAAACGTCAAATAATTGAAAAATTATCACCCAAATAATATTATCTATCAGTCAACAATAAAATATATAAAACGAAGTTCATTAAAATAAATCAGTAGAAGACAAGCAATTTAAAACAAGACAAGTTATTTTCCAATCCGTTAAAGTAACACTTCATGAACTCATTCATCTTGCTATGATGACTTTCAAATTCTAATTTGATTGAAAAAGTTCACAGATCGATTTTCATTGTCTTGTTAATTGTAATATGCACAATCGTGTATGCTGATTTGATGAATAGTGAATTTGATTTAAGAATTTTCGAAACTGGATTCATCCTATCGATCAGTGAGAAAAAAACTAGCTATAATGTTCACGAATGAGCACAAATAGTTGTAAATATCGAAATTAACAGTATTCAAAAGTTAAATGCCAGCTGTCATTAGATGACTTGTTAATTAAAGTCTTGTTTTTTTTTCTTTGTTAATTAGAAGTGTTAGATGTTGATAGCAATAAGAGTTGATAGCAATAAGACTATCTACTAAATTTCATAGTACGATCTTTATCATAAATTAGGTCTGTGTGTAGTCTGAAGCTGTCTAATTCCGAGTTGACCATGAATAAGACTTTTATTTATTAAGTAAATATATATTTAAGTGCAATAAATAAAATAAAGGCATGACTTCAACGAAGTTCGACAATCACCATAACTGTAAAATGAAAGTCATACAAATGTGCTCACTAGTGACTAGCTTCATAAAGAAATTCTCGGAATTCTAGTGAGATACCGCAACCAATGGGATTCAACTCTGTTGGGTGAAAGCAGTTACCTGCTGAGGACAGTGGGTGCGGTTGTGCAGTACCTTGTATTGGTCAAAGTTAGACACTAACACCGTTGAATGCCAGCTCAATGGTCCAAAGGTTAGGTGTTCAAGCGTAAGACAGAAGGTCCTGTGTTTGATTCTTGAGAGCAGCAGAAGTCCTGGACATGCACTGCTTATGAGTCACATACCAGGACGAAATGTGCGAGCTGTATTTCCAGGTTTCTAACGCTGGTCTATAAATGATGCATTCATGATTTCACTGAAGAATATTTAAAACAAAAACATTTTAGGAGTCTATTTCCCATATTAAGCTTTGAATTAGTACCTTAATCCTATTACTGAACACTAGCATTTCTTCCAATCCAATTGTGATCCTGATTTGTCAACATTTATTCATCGATTTCATGAAACTATCAGATGAATGAATGATTAGTTTAACGATATTGTGAAATTGTGTTTTAACCCTTTAGAAGCTTTTGTTTGTCTAATGATTTCTGACTGACTTACCTTTTAAAATATATGATGATCAATGTGTTAAGTGATCTTATTTTGCATTACGGGGTTGTGAAGATTGTTAAGTTACACATTTTTGAAACCATGAGTCGATCAATGTTAGACCACCATTAGAAACCTGGAAGCACTGGACGGCCGTTTCGTCCTGGTATGGGACTCCTCAGCAGTGCGCATCCACGACTCCTACACTCCGCAGAATTCGAACCCAGGTCCTTCGGTATTGTGCGCGAACGCCCTAACCGTTAGACGACTGAGCCGGTATCTAACGGTGTTAATGTCTAACTTGATCAAATTCACGGAGTTGCGCAACCTCACACAGTCTTTGGTAGACATTGCATACACCCGAACAAATATTCACCCTAGTTTCTTTAATGTCGTTAGTTTAAGGCTGTAGAGATGGTTGGATTTCATTGACACCGGTAACAGATTTAAATTAAACAACCATTGGAAACCTTGAGCCACTGAATGGCTGTTTTGTTTTAGTATGAGTTACCTTAGAAGTGCATATCTGTGAACTTTCCTCAACTATCTAATATCGTTCAATGTTTTGTAGAAAAAGTGATTAGCTGTAAATAGAATCAATTCATTCAGTGAATTTTTTTTTAAGAGTTAAAAGTGTCAATGTTAACTTTGTTAATAATAGTAGCTATCAATTAACGAGTGTGATACAACACAGTGATAACTGTCAATCTTGTGCGTAGTAAATACAAGAAATCAATAATTTTATATGATTTCTCCGATTTCGGTTAAACTTCATCAGTTTAGAAAGATTGTATTCACTTACCTAGTAAGTCTTACATTTTTTTAACTGTAGGGTTCGTCACTAGGTACGTTTGAAGCTATTACGAGTTCACCTTAGTCGATAAACGCGAACGAGACAATTACCAGCGTCCAGATAGGCTACCTTGAATCCCAAGCTGAAGATAGAAGGCTTTGTAAGCGTAGAAAGTATATTCTAAAAACACCCAGCAATCACATTACAATCAAGCACACAAATCTCGTTTATTTATGCATCACAGAAAAGTCCTTGGGACAGTGAGGCTGCCGGTAGGTTGAAGGTATCAAGCAGGATGTGAAGGAGAAGGTTTTCTGCTCTTGATGTTCGATCTGGGGCTAACCGTCTACGTATCTGATTTCGATGACGTGACCATTTATCACCTCTTACCTCTACATCGTACATAACTCGCACAACCCCCACTTCGTAAACGGATTGTCTTTGCGGCTTTGTCTCTACTGATGTTGGTTCATTGGTCGGATTCATCAGGCTGTGGATCGTTTTCAATCTTCTTCCCATCAGGATTTCTGCTGGGGACTTTTGCTCCGGTATCAACTCATTTGGTGTTGTCCGATAGACGTAAAAGAAATTTTGTAATGCATCAGCTGGTGTCCCCTCCCCTTTTGACTTAACCAATGCTCTTTAAAACGTATCCACAAACCTTTCCGCTTGCCCATTCGGTTGCGGGTTGTATGGCAGATCCCCAACAAAAACTAAGTCTCTTTTGATAACTTTAAAGAATCTAAACAACAAAATACTTACTTCCCTATAGACAACCTTTTAGGCTACAATATCCACTTAAGCTTAAAGACTTTAAAAGTGTTCATTATTTTTAATCAGTCATCTGTAATAAGTTCCAGCCATCAAAACACAGCCTTCCTTGGTCCTCAATTATTCTATCTTGGGAAAATTAGCTATACGGACAAATAATCATATCTTATAAGGAACTGCATTTACTTATATTGTACAATGTACATTAAAAAAGTAGTTTAAGAGTTGTAGCTGCGTTGAACTGGAAGTAGGCTTCAACACTTTGGCGACCCGCGATCTAAATCCGATATTTATGAACAATTAAGTATGCTATGAAATAAATCTTGCCTTCAGTTTCCGTACATCATTTACTTGAACGAACCTCATTTGAGCGTGGCAGCAATAAGAAGCCAAATACGGATTCGGTTAGATGACCTCCTTATTTTAAGCAGTCGTTCATATGTATTCATTTAAGCAGACAGACATGAGAATATGAAGCGTAGAGTCAAAGCGTGGCAGAGTGGAGAAGGCAAGTGAGCAAACTCATCGTAGCGAGACATGACTAGGCATCTATAATCAGACAAAAATACGCTAGACAGGTAGAAGGCAAATTAGGCGATGTACACATATATTCGAATAGAACCAACTAAGATATAAGCGAATGGCTGACAAGGTCAAAAGACAAGTAAATAAAAATAATAGGGGATTAATTAAATTGTCCAAGCC